TATCTTTTAATTCTATTTTTCCACGAACTTTCTGAAGTACCCTTGTACATGCTAGAGGGAAGAATTTGAAATGCTTAGTAGTGTGAATTGGTTGATAAATATACACTTGAAATAAATAAAAATGACTCCTCCTGTGACTCTCATCTGTCCTCAAGAGATAAAGGTCAGTGAGTACCCTAAAGTCCCCATAAAAATTGACTTTGGCCTCCATAGAAACTCCAGAGTCATCTGAGTGGGCCTTTGCTTCCTGTTCCCCACAGCCTGGTGCTTAGTTTCAGCTGGTGTTGCTGGTGCTGGCCAAGTCGAGACAGGCTCGGGTCTGGAGTTCAAGAGCTAGAATCGTGCCCTGATCTTCGTCACCTCCTGTTGTGGCTTCAGAGGCTTGGGACTTACTGATGGAGGAAGGCTGCAAGTGAAGTACTGACAGTGAACTTAACTGTCCTTTCCTGAGGTGTTATGAGCTTGTTCCTTGATCCTTCCCAATCCAAAGGATCCCCCAATCTAGCACTTTACAGCGTTACCTCATGTAACCCTCCAGCACACCCAGAGGAAGGAAGCATTACCATCTTTACTTTACAGAGGAGGAAACCAAGGCTCAGAGAGTGTAGGTAACTTGTCCAAGGTTACACAGCTAATAATTAGGGGGGCCCAGCCTGTGAACATATCCTCTGCTGAGTCAGCAAAAGCTCTGGCATTAACTTGCTGTGTGACAGCGGGCAGGCCACTGCCTCTCTCTGGACCTTGGTTTATCATCTGTAGAACACATGGGTTGGACTAGAGGGTCTCTGAGGCCCTGCTCAACATTCTTGGACTTCTTACTTGATCTGCCATGATCATATTGTAGTTGCCTCTGAAGGTTCTTTTGTCAGCCATCAGAGGGTGCGCTGCCCCCAAAGTAGGAGGCACTGGGGAGGCTGAGTTCTCTTAATTAATCACCACCTTAACTGATCAAAAGTCTGGTCTGGAGCAAAAAACCAGGTGCAGCTTTGGAAGAGGGTATTTGTGGAACTCCCGATAGGCCTTTCCAAATAAGGAAAGTAGCATTGGAATCTTTGAGGTTCTCTCATGGGGAAACTCTTCCTGCGTGGACCTCCTGGGGCTACTGTGTGGTGGGCCCTTCAGAGAATCAGAGCTGGGGAGTTGGTTAGTGGGGGAGGGAAGGCCTTTCCCACAGGTCACCTACCTGCATCCCTCTAGCCTCTCTCCTTGTTCTTGCCACACCCCCACTCCACTGGTAATATTTCCTTATGTTGTCCCTTACATTGATTCATTTTTCTTATTCAAATAAGGCTACTCAAAAAGGAAGCTTTATATCACTACCATGGTGGAAACCATTCTTTTTTGTAACATACATCAAAATCAATACCTTTCTAGAATGTAAGCTTCGTGCTTATAATGATACTGGCAGAGACTTTTGACAGTTTTGTTCTCTGTTCTATGCTGTGTGCCTGGAAAAATAACTGTTGCATAGTAGGCACTCAATAAGTATTTGTTGGTTATATCAGTATAAAATATTCGTCTACATACTACCTAGAGTAATCTTGAGTATTATACTTGGGAAACACTGGGGCAGCAGAAAGAACTAGGAGAATACTCTGAATTTTGGGATTCAAGGCATGTGAACATGACTTGCCATATGCTGCCAGACCATGAGGCCTTTCTCAGTGGGGTGTCTGCTGTCTACCCCCTTGTTACCCCCAGCTTTTCTCAGCCATCAACTCAAGCTGGGACAATCATGCATTAATCCAAGTGTGATACTATTTTCAGCCTGAGCTGTCATTTGGTTCCCAGATGGGCAAAAAGTTTTCATCTTCCACTTCCATTAGGACAGCTGTTATAAAAACACACAAAACAGAAAATAACAAGTGTTGGGGAGGATGCGGGGAAACTGGGACCCTTGTGCAGCCCTGGTGGGAACGTACAATGGTGCAGCTGCTGTGGAAAGTAGTAGGTGGTTCCTCAAAAAGTTGAACATGGAATTACCATCTGATCCAGCAATTCCACTTCTAGGTTTATACCCAGGAGAACTGAAAGCAGGGACTCAAACACTTCACATGTGCACCCCATGTTCACAGCAGCACTATTCACAATAGCCAAAAGGTGGAAACAACCCAAATGTCCATCAACTGATGAATGCATAAACAAAATGTGGTGTATCCACACAGCGGAATATCATTCAGCCTTAAAAAGAAGGCAAATTTTGACACATGCTACAACGTGAATGAACCTTTAAAGCATTATGTTAAGTGAAATAAACCAGAAACAAAAGGACAAATACTGTGTGATTTCACTTACGGAGATACTTAGAATAGGAAAATTCGCAGGAACAGAAAGTAGAATAGAGGTTGCTGGGGTTTCGGGGGACTGGGGGATGGGGGAATGAGTGCTTAACGGGTCCAGGGTTTCTGTTTGGGGTGATGAAAAAGCTCTGGAAATGGGTGGTGCTGATGGCTGCACAACATTGTGAATGTACTTAATGCCACGGAATCGTGCAATTAAAAAGGGTTTAGATGGCAAGATTTATGTTATGTATATTTTAGCACAATTAAAAAATAGTTTTTTCCTCTGATAAATTGGAAAAGCTTCTGTCACTTGTGTTGAGAAGGGGTCTGGGTTTGGCACAGTGATCGTCCAGTCTAAACGGGAAGGGAGTGGTGCCACTGCTGTCACTCATCTGTCCTCCCTGTGGGCTAACTTGGGTATATTTACTACCAAACGTGGAACATAGCTCTGGCATCATCCTGGTAACTTGGAAAGGGCCTTTAGACCATGTGGGCCAATCTTCTAATTCTACAGGTGAGAAAATAAGGCCAGAGGAAGGGCGTGACTTGCCCCCGGTCACACAGTGTGCTAGTGAAGGTGCTGCAGCTCCTGGCTCCCACCCAGACCTCTGCGCTCTGTTCAGGGCTCACAAACACAGAAGCCTAGGGGGCTGGTCAGACACTCTAAAGAGGGAAGCAGTAGGGTGGTGACCGGGGTGCTGGGCTGAAACGGGGTGCATGCCCACTACAGAGGGCAGTGCTGCTCAGCTCTAGCTCATCGATGCCAAGTGGGGGGGAGCCTCTCGTTGCCGTTTCTTTTGTCTTCCAAGAGAAGCCCTAAATCTTTTTTTTTTAGTGTATACTCTATCAAATTTCAAAAACGGGCCACTAATTCAAAAAAGTCCTAAAACACAGTGAAACCAAACAAAACACATCCATGGGCTGTGTTTGGCCTGTGGGCTGCCAGGTTTTGACCTCTGCCAAACATAACACGAACTTTTCTCCCTTTCAGGTTTTCGGTGTGCTTGATAAATTCATTTCTAGAAGTTCATTCAAAAAAAAAAAAAGACCACAAAAACTCTGGCTCAGCTGTCCTATTCACTGTCCACAGAACACGGTGTACCTTCCCCGGCCTCTGTGTTTGAACTGCGATGTAGATCCAAACCCTCCCATTTTTCAAAACCTGCTCAGGTCTGTCCTCTGTGAAGACACCTTTAGCCTTCCCAGCCCACAGGAATCTTCCCTGGAGTTTCTAAGTCTACACTGTCTTTACCTGGCTGGGCGATTACTCTCCTCCAGGAGCCATCTCTCCTGCTGTGGTGCCAACCGGCCACTGATCTCTGGCATTGTCATTTTGTTGTTCATTTTCTTTTCTTCTTTCCAGGCCTTTCCTCTGAGGGAGGCTGATATAATGAATAGATCTGGATTTTGGACATTAATCCCTGCCCACCCTTTTCTGCGATTCAGCACGCCCTGCATCCCCAGGAGGCCCGAGCTCCCGGCTGCCTCCTCAGTGGGCTCAGAGGATGTTGTTTCTCTGGTGGAAGAGGTGGTGTCTCTGAAGTAGCTTGCATTCATGGACCCAGTTCTTCACCCCTCCCTGCATCCATGCCCTTCGCCATATGACTTTGCAATATTTTCCCGCTGTGGCAGGACACAATTCTCCATTCCTCAAGATTTAGATATGTGACATGCTTTGGCCACTGGATATTAGACATGGAAAGAGTCTGGAAAAAAGCTTACACACTTGGGTTTGCTTGCCCTAGTGTCTATGCTGTCATCATGAGAAGGATGCCTGGGCTGGCCCGCTAGTCGCAGGAGGAGGCTGAGCCCAGCCTGGATCAGCCTGACACCCAGCTATTGTGTGGGTCTGTGTTGTCTTAAAGCCATTCGGTTTGGGGACAGTTTCTTATGCTGAATTGTTGGCAATATTCACTAATATGCCACCCACCCCCAGGTTCTAACTCCAAGAAGGGAAGGAGTCTCTTTCCCTGTGCATTCCGGGGTCACCACACTTCTCAATGGGGGACCTGGATCTCCCAATCTCCTCTTCCCTGAGAGGCCTGGAAGGAATGAAGGAGAGTCGTCACAGGACCTCCCAGCTCTTCAGCAGGCTGAGGACACTGAAGCAGTTGGAACAGATTGCTTTTCAGGCCCCTTTAAGGCATAGTGTATGTGCACCCTTGGAGGAAGCATGAGTTCAGAATGGGTCTGGAGCCTGGGAATTCCAAAGGCTGCCTCCAGCAGGGATGCCTCCTTGCCTTGGGTGCCCTGAGATGAGGAGGCCTAGAGATTTTATCTTCCTGACAGAGACTGAGCTACTAAGATCCACAGAGAAACTCCAAGATGGAAAAAAGAGGGAGATATTTCTTCGGTGGTTTAGGGAACTGCACTTTCTTCCAAGTGAAAGCTGTCGGAATACATCCCTTCTGTGGCCCTGTGCGGGGACACCTAGGGACCCAGATCCATGGTGACCAGGGAGGAGCAGGATTTGAACTGAGCTGAACCAATCAAGAGTCAGTGCCTTTCCTCCAAAAGCTCCAGAAAGGACCCTGAGTTCTCTTGGGAATCCCTGCATCTTCTAATTAAACCTGTTGTTCCCTCAAGATACATCATAATCTTTTTATTTTTCCACTTTGTTACATTTGTGTTTTAAAATATTTTATAATATTTGAGCGAAGAAAAGAAGCTCCACCATCTTGTTTCCTCCCATTTTATTGGCAACACACAGCACTTCAGCTACACGGTGGGCAGAGTGGGCTTGCATGAGCTTCCGTGGATAAGCCACTAAGGACAACACCATTCCTACTGAAAAATGTACTGTGAATGCTACGCAGCAGTCATGCAAATGGTCTATCAGAACATAACTCATCACCAGGTGGCGCCTTATCGTGTTTCTAAAGCTATTTATTTCTAGGAGCAATCTGCATTTCAATAAGACCTAGAGAATCCTGAACTCTCTCCTAAGGCTCCTTACTAATATGAAGCATGATTTATTTAACCTGAAAAATAAGGCAGGAAAAAATGTTGACAACTTTTTCCTAGGCATTTCTTTCCCATGGTTCAATGTAATCCAATCCCAGATGTGCAAAAATTTCTTCTTCACTTTCTGCTTTGAGAAATATCCTCTGAAAGCATAACAAGAAATACGTACATTCAGATATTTTCCTTAAGCATCTCAGTGCGGACGCAGTGAAAGTACTACTCGTAAAACTGTCTTGTCTGAAATGATTGCCAAAACATAATTCTCTGCTTTTGAATATAATAAGTCATCTTAACTGACTTCTGTAATTTTTACATTTTCCCTATCCAAAAATACGGTACTAAATGAATTAAGGTAAAATCATGACAGCCTTACATATTCAGCAAAAGGCATTTGGACATTTTCCCTATGCACCTGTAGTCCTTAACCACAGCTGTGCACTAGAACCACTTGGAGTTTTTTCAAAAATCATCGAGGCTTAAGCCACACAATTGTCTAATGAAAACAGAACCTCAGGGGAGGTTTTGTCATCAGTCTGTTTAAAAGCTCTGGGTCATTCCAATGTGCAGCCAGAGTTATGGACTGCTGGTAATTATATGTACCTGTACGTGCTGGCTTCTCCTCCAGCCTTCCACACCTGCCGCCAACACCACCAGGCTCCTGCCCCATGATCACTTTAAGACCAAGCACTACTTCCCTTTCATCCCTTTTTGTTTATAGCACAGTGCTGGACACATAGAACGTACTTGACTACACTGAGCTATTTATTATGTGTCAATTTGTAAGTGCTCCTAAATCGCGTTGTGTGAATCTGCCTTCACACACATGCTCAGCATCTGAGGCTGTCCTGCCAGCATCCACAGCCCCCTCCTTCTGCGAGCAGCACCTTGATTTTTTTTTTTTGCAGGGGGAGGTGAACTACCCCTCTCTATCTCAGTCCGTGAGGGTCAGGTGGAGCTGCTCCCACCTCCAAAGGGAAGCACAGGACCCAAGCCTAGCCAATCAGAGCTACAGTGATGGGTTCAGGGATGGGCACGTGACCCAGGCCTGGCCAATGAGCATCAGCTAGGATTCCTGCTGGAACTGAGAGGAAAGAGGCCCTTCTCTGTTGGAGTAACCAAGAGAATGGGACTCATGGGAAAACCCTGCCTGAGAATGAAACCAAAACTGAAAGAAGCCGGCCTGAGCACCTGGAGCCAACTTACTCTTGGATATATAAGCCGTATCTAACCCAAGTTCCCTTTTTCACCTATGCCATCTTTGGGTTCAGTTTCTAACACTTGTAACTGAGATAGCTCTAACTAAATATACCTCATTTAAACGGTAAGTTCCTAGCAGGCAAGGACAGTTATTTCTGGTTATTTTGTGTCTTCTTTCCCCTGGGAGCCTAGTTTGGTGTCCTTCACCATTGTAAGAACAGTATACCTTGGCACTCATGGATTTCACAACCGAATGTTTGACTCTTCATAATTCATACAGTAATTTATGATTTTGCAGAGGCACAAATTGGATTGTGACCACAGTAAGGCTAACACGCCAAAAGAGTCACACAGCTGGGGAGTAAGCTCAGCTGGGAGCTCACCTACATGTCAGGGCAGCCCTGTTGCTCTCCTTCTTGCAGGAGACTCTCCATAATGACCTACATAGTCACTCAAAATGCTACTGTCCCCTGCACTTGAGGGGTATTCCAGTGGCATTTGCGATTTGGAGGGAACCTTGGTGTTCTTTGGACTTACTCATTGCAAACAAGGATATACCAGACTCAATTAATGTTCACCACTAGACTGGTTCTGGAGGCCCAACTGGCTCATTATCTTTGAGTCAAAAGCTGCTGTGGTCCATTCCCGGCCAAGTAGCAGTGTAAGCCTGTGGGGATCTTTCCAGCTGCCCTCACCTGTGATCAACTGGGAACAGGACAGTCATAGCAAAGGAAGCTGTACCTGGACACTAAATCAGTTCAGGAAAAGTGCTCAGGGAGCCAGCCTTGGGGGTGAGGATCAAAGTATCCCATTTCAGGAAGAAAATGCTACCTTGGTTTTGTCATATAAAGCGTGGTTATCCAGTCTCATCTTCCGCTCATGCGTGGCATAGCGCCTGAGGTCTCGCTCAAACTGCTGGACAAGAGATAATTAACATACATCACTATGAAGTAGAATGTCTTCAGTATTAGGTGTTTAGAGAGACTGAAGTCCCTCTAGTGAAAGATCTATCTCCACTAAACATTCTCAAAGGGATTTTCTTCCCCAGGACGAAGTGCTCTGATAACAGAGCTTGGCGGGTCCCTGAGTGTACCAGAATGTCAGCTCTGTGAGAATAGGAACCTGATTGTTTTGTCTATAACCCCGTTCCCTCACCAAATAGTGCCTGGCATGTAGGAGATGTATGGCAAATGTTTGTTGAATGAATAAATGGCTAGCGTAAACACTTGGTCCACAGTAATACCTGAGCCAGAGTAAATGCTGGATAAATAATCCTTTGTCTTTTTTTTTTTTTTTTTTTTTTTTTTTTTTTTTTTTTTTTTGGTCATTATTGTAAAAAGGATGAGAAGTTAGGGGACCCATTCCAGCCTGGATTTTGTCCCTACTTAGCTGTGCATCTCTTGGCACGTCACCCAGCCTCTCTAAATCTTGGTTGGTCAAGCAGAAAAATGGAGGACATGCATGACTAAGGTCCCCTCTCTCTCAACCTGAGATTCGGTGAAACTGATGGTCTGAGTCACCTGTCCCAAAATGACATCTCCCATGATCAGGAGTGGGCTCTGAGGCTGCAGGGAGCAAAACCTGAAACCTAAGGCAGAGAACAGGAAACCTTGGAAAAGGAGGACCATAAATAAGTTTGTCACTGAGGCCAATTTTTCTGAGAAAACCACAGATTTAGAAATTTTGTCCTTATACTCTGAGGGATTAAGAAGAAAGCCTGAGATAATTGTGCCCTCTAGTGGCGAAGAATGATTTCCTATTATAGGAAAACTGGGCAGGCTGAGAAGACAGACTTTCCAACCACAAGACCTTTATAATGGGGTGGAAAGGGAGCCAGGGTTGTGGAAGAACAGGGTGAAGCAGAGTCTGGGTACAGTAGCTGTAGGTCTGTGAAAGTACAGGAGTGTTGTCCAGCACACCGCCTCCCTCCCCTCAGCCCTGGGCCTCTCCCCTCCCCTCCTCCAAGCACTTGGCTAAGCAATGGCTGCTACACTGTGTGTTGGGGGTAGGTGGAGAGAGGCTGGAGTTGGGGGGGAGGGTGAATGGGGCAGTGAGGGGCTGCCCTTGTCCCAGCCCTGAGAAGTTAAAGTGAGAGATGTATTCCTGGACTCCTCTGCTAAAGCCTCGGGAGCATTTTCCCATAGACTGCTAGGAATTACAATGTCTTTCATCCGAAGAGTAATAATATTGACTTGACAAATATTTACTGAATACCAGGTATGTTCTGGGTGCTTGGACTATCAAAGTGAACAAAACAAAGATGTCTTTCCTGGTGGAGATTATTCTAGCAGGGACATAGACAGTACACAGTGACAGAATAAGTAAGTAAATTACCTGATACGTTCAAAGGTAAGTGCTGTGGACTTATTAAATAGGGTGGTCGTGGAAGGCCTCATTGAGGAGGGGGATTTGAACAAGGACTTGAAGACGGTGAAGGAACTAGCCAAGTGAACTCTGGGGGAAGAGAATCCCAGGCAGAGGGAATAGGTAGACAGAGGACTTAGGGCTGAGCGTGCCTGGCCTGTTTAGGGAGAGAACAGCAGGACAGTTCAGAGAGGTAAGATGGGGCGGGGGGACAGGTCATGCAGGGCCTTCTAGGCCAGTGTAAGACCTTTGGCACTTACTCTGAGTTAAGGGGGAGTCCCTGCAAGGTTTGAACAGGAAAGTGACATGGTATGACATGTTTTAACAGGATCACATGGCTGTAGGGGGCTAGGGCAGAAGCAGGAGACCAGTTAGAAAGGCCATGGCAGTAATCCTATCAATGATATCCTCCCAACATCTGACATAAACACGAATAATACTCTTGAAAGAATCCCAGCAAATAAAGTGACGTTGACAAGCTAAGCAGATCTATTTTGAGAAAACATGGTTCAGGGGAAAACAGAAGTTCCTTTTGATTTTTAACTAATGAACTCTGTACCCAGTCCAGAAATCATACCATACCTGGATGGCTTTAGAAAATCTCAGCTTAATGTGTTCCTGTGGATTGGCCCTGCTCAAAACATCTTTAGTCCACAAAGATAATAGGGAAGCTTTGTGAGCTCAGTAAATCAGACAACCTGGTATACTAATATACCCAAGCTGAGGTGAGATTAATAGATAACCTAGATTATCTTGAGAACATTTCCCAGGCCCTGATGTCTTTGAGCAAAAGGGTACAATTGAATTTCTAAACCTACAAAAATTTAGACTAGACCAATCCTAGTCATCCACCAACATATGTCCCCTGGGGACAGAGCTTCAAACTGAAGCCATTTCAGGCTGACAAAACACACCACATTCAGTGGTCGCACAGGTGGGACACAGAGATAATTACACAAGTACCTACCATTTGCTGATCCCTTATCACATCTAAACACATACAACATCTCATGTAACCCAGGCAGCAACTTTATGAGGTGGGTACCACTGTAACTCCCAGTACAGGTGGGACAACTGAGGCTCAAAGAGGTTAAATAGTTTGTTTAAAGTTACCCAGCTAAAAAGTATAACAGCTTAGTGTTCTGCCAGTGCCCTGCAGAACCAATAGCACCTATTACTGAGAATTCTGAGAAGAGACTAGAATGTGCTGAAAACAGGTCCATCTTAAAAACAAAGAGGGCAGAGGGCAACCAGGTCAGCCAGTGATTCCTAACTGGCATGGCCTGGCATGAACATGGACGGCTTTTTGGAAATTTCCCCTTTCTCAGAATACTCTGTGTTCCTAAAGATTTATGTATATCAGACAAATCACATTTATGGTGTATTGTTTCATTAGTTTTTCCACTTTTTTTTTTAAGAATGAAAGATGTGTTTAATTGCCAGTCAGCATTTTTGATTAAGGGTGAAAAATCCCAGTACTAAGATGCTGTCCTGAAACAACTTCAGCCCAAAGCAACCTGACATTCAACTCAAGGTTGAGAACAATTAATTCGTGTTATGTCCTTCATTCATATAAAACCCTCCAAGAACTCATTTCACTCAGAGCAACAGCCAGCTACTTGGGGAAAGAGGAGAAACAGTGTGGGGTGCTTAGTCTGGAGGGTGGAGCACAGGCTCATAGCACTCGAATCTCGGTGCCATCTCCTGTGAATTGATAATGATGGGACTGGGAGCTGCCCCTAGTCATTCAGCCCTGACCACATTCCTGGCATGGTGCTGAGGCTTTGAGAGCATCCTCTTGCTGAATCTCTGCAAGGCAGGGAGGTAGCTGAGGTCATTGTGCTTATTTTCCTGGTGGGAAAACCGAGTCTTCCAGAACATAGGGAACTTGTCCAAGATCACCCAGCTGGTAAGAGGCAGAGCAGGGGCTTCTGACCAGGTCTGGGATGAACCCAACCTGTGCTCTTAACCACCTCGCTGGTTTCTCTGCTTCAGTGGTTCTCATACTTGAGCTGCTTCAGAATCACCTGGAGGGCTTTTTCAAAGCACAAATTGCTAGGCACCACCCCCAGAGTTTCTGATTCAGTAGGTCTGGGGTGGGATGGAGAATTTACATGTCTAACCTGTTCCTAGGTGAGACTACTGCTGCCAGTCTGGAATAACTGTTCTAAGTCAATCTGTCTCCCTTGACCATGTGCAGGTGCAATGCCCTGATTTAGAGGTTTCTGGGCACTGCTCCCTCCCTTGTCACTCCACCTCTGCTGCCATCATCTCTTTCCTGGGCCCTGGTACCCCTAGCGTATGTCTTTCAGAGAGCTAACACATGGGTCCGTGTAGCACTTACCGGGGAGCCAGTCCATCCCAGCAGGGCGAAGGCACGGCACTCATAGGGACACATGACCAGGTCCACCCGGATGGCCTTCCAGGTCTTTCCTTCCTGCTGGTTGGACTTGTCACTGTCCACTCTCTGATGGTCCAATTTTAAAATCAGAAAGCACTTTTGAAAATGATCCAAAGCATCCACATTCCTGCTAGGCAACTTGAGCTTTTCAAATGTCGACTCTACAAGGTCATGGTATAAAAGTAATCCCTGAAAAGCAACAGAACAACATCAGGAAGAGTTCCTGATGGAGAAGGTCTGTGATTTTATACTGGGCTCCTAATGAAATCTTTACAGATTTGAGCAGAACGTGGGTGTCTGTCCTTGCATTGAGAGCCCACGCGGCAGCACCAGCAGAGGAAGCTGAGGAAGTGGCTGGATTATCCTCTCTCTGCAGAAAAGGAATTTGGCCACTAGAGAGGCTGAGCCAAAGCCAGTTAATGGCAAAACTGCAAGAGAATCCCTCTCCCCACTTCTGAATCTCAGCCAGAGCTCAGCAACTCTCCTCACTTCTTTAAAAACAAACCAACCGTAAACAAAAAGCCATGATGTTTCTGGGGGTTGGGGGTGGGAGCAGCTTTGAGTTAGTGCCCCTTTTTATTATACCGATGGCCAGGTTTAAGTGGTCCAAACGGTTGTGGCTGAAGGCTGAGCCCCACTTTGGGTGGGATGACGTGCTATTTCTAGGCAGCATTTGGGATGCTCTTGCTCATGAGAGATTGTTTTCTGCTGCCTTGGAGAAAGTGGGTAAAGTTAGTGATGCACGTTTCATCTAAAATTGCCTACTCAGAAAGTTCACAAGTGATTCTAAGGCATGCCCAAGCGCGTTGCCATCCACCAGTGTGTCTGCTTGATGGGAGTTCCTCAGGGCACAGGACAGAAGTGGGGAAGGGAGAGGCAGGAACATGCAATTAACTGCTAAATCTTGAGTGGTGACTACAAGAGCAAATAACCCTCAAATAATGTAATCATAGCTGCTGCGGTGTGTGATTTGTTATCATGTAATGTTTAGGTCAGGCGTTCTCAAATTTTATCATCAGAAGCATTTGGAAGGTTTGCTAAAGCACTGTTGGCAGGGCCCTGTCCACAGAGTGATCCGGTGGGAGACGGGAGAGGCAAGAATGTGCATTTCTAACAAGTTCCCAGGTGCTGCTGATGCTGCTGGTCCAGGGACCACACTTGGAGCACCACTGGTTCATTTACCATTGTTATTAGACATGCTTTGCATTTCTCCTGCAACCCCCAGAGAGCCATTGTTTCAACTTGAGAGGATATTTTTTCTTTTGCTGATCTCAGAAGAGGGAACTCTTCACCCTTGCATGCCTCGGAGGAGGAAGAAAGATATTAGGAACAGCAAACACCATTTGAAGTGGTGGTGGGGGGTACTGATGTTAGGAAGAGCCTGGCACGGGGGTGGGGGTTATGTTGTCCTAGGTGACTTCTCATAACCAGCTTAGCAAACACAATTCTGCTTCTTAATGAAACTTGCTAAAACGAGCACAGTATGACAGCCTTTGTGTACATTTCAATTATGTAACTCTGAAAACGAACTATTAAAACATTAACAAGTCTCATATGGAAGCCAAATATGCAACAACACCCACCACTCTTTTAAAAACATCCACAAAGCTTCCTAATAGTGAACTGTGTTTGTGCTATTGCCACGTGGTGGTGGCACTTGGCTGGTGGTTGGGTTTGTCTTGCATTTTGCAGGGTGTTGGGAATGCATCCCTTGAACTTATCGCTCCTGTCTGTGTATTCAGATGGCTTGTTAACCCTGTTTCACAGATGAGGAAAGTGAAGCTTGGAAAGATTAAGGAACTCATTTCAAGGGCATACAGCCAGTAAATGGCAGGGCTGTGCTTTTAAATCCCAAATCTCAAATCCACATGCTTAACATCAGCCTCCACGGCAGTACCTGCATATAAAATGCTCTTCTCTTCTTGGGGACGAGCAGCACAACTGCCTTGAGACAAGGAAGGACCAATGGGAGAGGCCCCAATGCCATCCTCCCCCACATCCCAGTCTTGGATAGTCTCAGCATGTGGAGGGGTTGCCTATAAACCAAGGACAAATAGGTCCACCCTTGCAGGGGCCCCTCAGTAGGGAGCCAGGCAGCCTCTGTCCACCTAGGCCTCAGCCAGCAAGGTCCAAGTGCTCCTTGCCTGTCAATGACAATCTTTCATCTTTCCTGCTTGAGCAGAGCAGCGGGCCAGTGTAGCTGACTCTTCCTTGTCCTTCCTTCTCCTGGACTGGCCTATTACGTTCACTCTCAGGCCCCCAGCCACCCTGTTTCCATTCTCCTGAGAGGGACAGAAGAGACTTGATAGCCTCACAGGTGGATTTGGATCTGGTTCCAAAGTTGGATCTTGGGCCGGCCCGGTGGCGCACTGCTACAGTGTGCCGCTTGGGAGCGCGGTGGCGCTCCCGCCGAGGGTTCGGATCCCACATACAGACCGGTTCCCGCTCACTGGCTGAGCGAGGGGCGGGCGCAGCACCGCGGGTTGCG